GACATGGGGCTTTAGCAAAAATGCTAAATATTAGAAGACTCTCTATAATTTTACAGCATTTTTGGAGGGGATGGGGAGTGCAGGCGCTTGCTTCGGCTCTGAAAAACACAGTTTGTTTGTTCAACGGGGCTGACGAGCCCAAACCCTCTCCCCTTTCCCTCCCCCAAACCCTCTCCCCTTTCCCTCCGTGTTTCTCCCATCACTTTCTCCCATCGGCATTGTGGGAAAATCCAGCTCTCCAGCTGAACCCTGCGGTTCTTTCCTTTTCTCTCCATCATTTTAAACCCACCCTCCTCCCAGTCCCCGAGGCTGCACGATCCCAGTTGGGATCCAGTTGGGAGCTGCGGGGCTGCTGGTTTTCCCGGGCTGCGGAGGAGGTGCTGAAGACCCCCATCTGCTGCCCACTGCTTGTACTGCAAACGCCTCCTCCCCGCACCCCCGGGGCTTTCTCTGCTCTCCCAAAGCCACAAAGCGGCCAAGGGGCAAGGCAGGCGAAGCCTCAGGCAGAAATGGCAAGAAGAGAGCAATAATATAAGGCAGAAAGATGAAAAACCAGTCCGAGTGGGTCTCCACCACCTTTGAAAACCATCTCAGGATGCTCAGGGTTTCTGCCTTTCCCCTGCTTCACATTTTCTGTTGTCACCTTCCTCACCCCTGTGTGTCTTTTCTCCTCTTCATCCTTTTCTTTCAAGGGATGGAAAAATAGAAAGACATGAGTTGTGCGCAAAATTCAGTCCCTGGGGGTTTGGGGGGGAGTAGGTGATGCCCCAGGATTGTGAAGCCCTGAGTGGGGAGGGAAGGGGACATGATCTGGGAGCTGATCCAGGGGCTGCTGCCTCAGGACTGGAAAGGGATGTACCCCATAAAAAGCAGCATCCCTGTCTGGCCACAGCCCAAGGGGAAACATGGGGGGGCAGTTGCACATGGACACCGACCCCCCTCACTGGCACTGTGGGTTTCCAACAGGTTTTCATCCTTGAGTTTTCCACCAAGCAGAGCTTGAGGAGACTGAGAAGCTGGAGTTTGGCTTGGGCCTGTATTTAAAGGTAAGATCTTCCCTTTAGCCTGCAATCATCTCTGGCTCTTCCGTGCATCCCACATGGCCCTTCACTCTGTAGTGGCTGAGTTTCTTCTGGCCTTCCCTTGGGAAATAAGGTGAACCCCCCCACACACAAAGTCACTCACCCCCCCTTTGCACCCTAAATGTCTCTCCTACACCAGCTTGTTGAAAAGGTTTGCACAGTGGCCTCCCCCAACCAGCTGCAGCTTGTGAACGGGCTCCAGGTGGAGCAGGAACCACCAGGCTCAGCTGCTGGCACCAACCAGTGCCCAAAATCCTGGGGTGGGAAGAGGAGACCAAAGCTCTGCAGTGGAGAAAGGATGTGGCTGGGACTGCAGGGGTTGCTCTTACCTGGGAGGTAAGAGCAGGGAGCTGCACTCCGTGGAAATCTGCTGCTGCATGTGTCTCCTGTGCAGGGAAGGACATTGTGGTTGGAAAGTGGTGGTGCGAGTTAGTGAAGCAGGAAGGTGTCCTGAGCTCCAGCCCCTTTCCAGGCATGTGTGCTGTGAAGCAGCACCCTGATTTTAAGTGTCCCCCCACCCTCTGGGGGCTTTGCAGGGACCCTGATGTGTCCTGCAGCACAGGGGGGGCTCCGGTGCCCTGTGTGAGCACTTAGACCTCACTTCTGGGATCCTTGGGGGGATTAAGGGCTCTCCTCTAACCCTTTTATCCCCATGGGTGGATGAGCCCAGGGTGCCTCAGTTTCCCACTTTGCTGCAAAGTGAAGCCTTCACCTCCTGTTCACCACCCCCAGCTGCTCTGAGTGCTTCTCATTAGCAGCTCAGCCCGGGGTGCTGGGGGAGGTGTTTGTGCTGCATCCCCGGAGCCTCAGACTCACTCGGGTCTCTCCCCAGGGCGCAGCTAAGGACACAGCGCAGGGTTGGGTCGCCTGGAGCAGATGGAGAAGAGTGT